TCTTTTCTATCTGTTACAGAATATATCAATTTTCAAAACAACATTGACGGCCATTAAACCTTTGGTGAAGACTAAACACATCTCACCATCACTACAGACCGTCGATCAAGCATACCTTCAGCATGTCTTTTCGTGTCCTCGTGCTTCTGCTTCATTGTTTCCTGAAAACAAAATCATCGTTTCTTGTCTGCCATACAAACCTATACCATCAAATATCGAACGTATCGTGAAATCGGTGTCCGAAATGTTAGCTTCAGGCACCAAAGATAGCATCTGCCCACATGAATTGTCAATGAAGTCCGCTGCCACCGAAGACGATTGCGTAGCTGGTAGAGTTTTGTTCCTCGATATCTTCGGCGATATATCTAATGAGAAAAATCTATCTGATCATATCTACAAACAGACGGGAAAATTCTTGACCAGTTGCAAAGGAGAAGACCTTGTGCTGTAGGCTACGTTTCCGACACAACAGAGTACTGATACACTTTATCGAATTATATCAGAATATACTTGGGCTTTGGTTGAGAAGAAGGTGCTGTATGGATTGGTACAGTCCATCTTACGTTTGCGTGAAAGGGTTTGAACTAATATATCAACATTAACATAGAATGCGCTAAGTTAGGAATCATCTTTAGTAGACAAGTGTTTTTTTATGTATTGGAGGAATGATTTTAAAAACATTTTAATTTTATCGAGTTTTTCTTGGTATCGTCGGATTTCTGAAGATTGATGAAAGCTTACAAGCCTCTAGCCCACTGCATCCCGTTGTATGATCGCACGAGGCGATTTTGCACCGCTTCACTATCACTGTTGATACGATTACTATATAAGATAAACCTTTTGGACTTGTATGGCCAGTCTTTGTTTAATATAAACGTGATTTGTTTTCAATTACTTCTGGACTATACATTCTTTCTTACCTATTAACTGTATGCTTTTGTTTTATTTTGTCAGGAAGTTATTCAGTAAATCAAAATAAATTTTACGAAATATAGTAATAGACAATGGGATTTAATAAAGAGAGATTATAAGAATAGTTATGTGCTTTTAACCTTCACTAATTTCCTTTCAAACAGTCATTTATTTCATCTTTGGTGGCTGGACTATGAGGATTCCATTCTAAGCTAGTGCTTCAGATTATTTTTACGACGGAAACAAGTTGAAACTGTAATTCCTTTTCAGTTAAGATTAGCTATATGTAATTAAATATCAATGAAATTATATTGATGATGTAGGATAAAATACCTTATCCACGTGGGATTTTGTTAACTTCAAATTCGCCAACAGGTAGAAAGATGCCACTTACATCAGTAATATCCTTCATCAAAAGTAAGTCGAAGCTAACATACTACCGTACTTCATAAACAGAAATGCCCTTGTTTGCAGACAGAGCTTCTAATAACAATCTTTGTTTATAAATAAAATTAAATAACCTGTTCGTAAAAAGAACTAGGCTTGCTCAATAATCAATCTATCTATATATTTTCAAATTTTGTCGGAAGACAAAATCCTAGCTATTTCCGCTTTTGTATTACATTCCTTCCAAATACACACTTATTATAAGGATATGGACCGCCCTATAATGTTGCTTCTATCATATATGCCGATCGATGTCGATTTCTTTATGATAACAACCCTTCTCCTCATATCTATGGTGTAAACATGTCGCAGTTGTTTCGGTTTTAAAGAGTTTGCTCTTAATGTTATGATTTCCATGATAAATGTCGACATAGGGTTTTCAAGAATGCAGCCTGATGAAGACTATGGACAAGGTTTATAGTCTCATTAATATTTCACAGGGACATTTGCTATGTTGCTGTTTAATATGAAAGTTGATCTTTTGATTATGTTCATTAATGTGCCTTGTGGTTTCTTGTCACTACCAGAGTTCTTGGTTAAAGGACGTGAAATCAATTGAATTTGACTAAGATTCACAATGTACATGGCGGGCGTCGTATATGAAGCAGTAGATGCTTAGCCTTTGGAACAACGAGCCTTATTTTACTTTTACTTTTGCAAGGGTATCCAAGTCAATTTATTTTTATCCATATTTTGGAATCGTTTTACCGATTTAGCGTTCAAATAATGGTTTTGTTAACACTACCCTTGTTAAAATCAATGACGTTAAAATATTTATTTTAGTGAATCGATCTGGTGTTATCACCTGTTAAGATGCGTAATATACCAAATCATTTATTTATTTTGATGAGAGAATATTTGCAAGCGATATGAAATTTCAAACTATGAATATATTTGTCAACAGCAGCTTTCGATTATGCTGGTCCTTATGTAGTAATCAATATAAATGACAAATTTAACTTAGCGTTCATGAATACATTGCAATATGATTTTACATGATATTATTAGTGTAATGATTATTTAAGAGTGACATCTGGAAAATACATACATAAAGTACACAATGCATTGGAAATCTTTTAAAATATTTAGAATACTGTCATACTGTGAACTCACTAATTTTCTTGGTGATACAATTTCTTTGAATTCCTACGTCCACGAAGAAATTACAAGTTTGACATAAAATTTTCTTCGTTGGAGATTTGTATAGAGTTTTTTTTTTTCAATTTCGACATATTTTTCACTTCAATGAAATTCGCTCCGGTAACATTTCGATCATTATTAGATGATGAAAAAATTCAGGAATTTTATCCAGTTTTGTACTAAAAAATATATAGATAATAACGTTAATGAGCTGAAGGTAAGAGTAAAGTAGGAGAATAAAGGCCAAGGGATTGCGAAAAAGATAGAAGAATATTGCATACATAATCTCTCCAATATAGCACGCGAAGAAATATTTACTTCGTCCTCGTCGATTGTTCTGGGGGGAAAAAAACCCGAAAAACATCTGCACGTGTTGCAGGCTATTCACCTGGAAAAACTTCCTAACTTTAAAGCATAGACAACACAGATATGGTAGACCGAAAAAAGCCATTTAATTTTAATTATTTAAGAGTGACATCTGGAAAATGCATACACGCAGCACATATTGCATTGGAAATATTTTAAAATATCTAAACCTGATTAACTTTTAAACGTTATCTACTGTCATGCTTCGAAATCACTAATTTACTTGGTGTTCCACTTCGTTGATTTCGTAGGTTATCCTCATCCACGAATTCATAGGTCCACAAAGTAATTACAAGTTCTTCCAACGGAATTTGTTTTTAGAACGCAACTACACTAGCATGCTTTAAGACAAAACTCATCGGAGACGTTTTTGTATACCTCTTGGGCTGTTAGGACTTGTGTGGACTGGCATGCTGTCGATAGGGAAGGCCAGAGTGTTAAACGATTCGCCAAATACTCATTTAAAGAATGGAAACAGCACAATGAAAGCAAAATATTTCAGCGACATGAATGACCAATTTAATTTTTGACAGTAGATGTGTAAAAACTTTAAATAAGGGAAAATGACATTATATTTTTATTGTTATTATCATTTTTATCAAATAAATTATCATCGCCTCAGACGAAAATTATTTAGTATCTGTCTTATTATATACTTATTTCAATTGATATACTTATATAATTGTAAGTAAATATATAACTATAGATATGAATAGGGGCTTCGCACATTCAACCTAACGCAATATAATAGTGTGTATTAACATGACAGAATCACAACCATTTCCTTGCCTTTGTATCCTCCAAATCCGTGAAAATGTCTTAATACCGATGATACCGACTTGGAATGTAATCCAGTCCATTATAAAGATTTTCTTGTAAAGAAATGACATCTATATAGTCGTCTTTCTGAAGTGTAAACCCTCTATTTAGCCTTTTGATATGATAACTAAAGTGTTTTCGTTAAGAAATACCCTTATACATCATGTAATGTAATGTCGTTAGCCAATCAAATTTACGAAAGCTACATTTAACATCGAGTAATGCAAGGTTTGTTTCACCATAGTTTGTCGCATACAGATATGTGTATTGCATTCAGTTATAATGTATGCAAACTTATCGTGAATGCAAAGCGTGGAATCTTGTAACATATTGTGACAACATTTTAAAATCTTTAATGAAATGTTCTGATTGCATAATTTCACTTCTATTTTTAAAGGTAAGGTAATGAACATGCTATTTAATACGTAATTTAATCAGTATCTAAGATAACAGAGGGTAATTCGATTTCTAATTAAAATGCTATGCATAGTTTAGTTATGTAAATATCATACCGTGTGTTGCAAAAGTGAAAAGAAAATACCATTCTTATAAGACAATGTAAAAAGTTATATCTTCACACATAAAGATAAAGCATTTCGTAATATGAAATAGGCACTGCCTATAAGCGAGCGCACATAGTTCGGTAACCTTTGTGATGATAGTATAGATCTCGGGCTTTAAGGATACAAAACGAACAGAATCACTCCTTAGGTCAAAGGTGCGTCGAATATTCTGACATGAAAAATAAATAAATGGTTGTTATAAAAATTAGTATCTTAATTAAGAAAGCCTGCTAGATATTACATGTAGGCCTTTTTGTTGTTACTAATTTACTATTACTTCAACACCTTTGTCAATATATCGCCTGATCCCTTTTAGCATCAAAAATTTGTCAAGACAAAATGACAGAAATAGGATCTACTGTGCAAAGAAAATAATAATTAAAAAGGCAAAGTATTGCAATGCAATCCATAGTCCCTCACCGGTAAGAATTGCTATCTTAAAAAATAGTACACTTATGTCAGGAAGTATAGGTCACAGTGAGGTTTTAGTGATCTACTTCACACCTCCATCCCAAGATGTCCTTATTCATCAAATCAGGTAACTCAGGGTGAAATGTTATAGAAGATATGGCCCGGACAAACATTTTCAAATGCAAAGGGTAAAGGTCAAGTCATTGATCACAATGACCTAATTCTGTACACTCTGCCATCACAAGATGTCCTTGTACACCAAATCTAGTTACTCCAGGTAAAAAGTATACAAGATATGCCCCGGACAAACATTTCCAAAAGTAAAGGTAAAAGGTCAAGTCATACGTCACAGTAACCTAAACCTTGCACACCAAATCTCGTTACTGCATGTGAAATAGTATAGATGATATGCCCCAGGACGAACATTTTCAAATGTAAATGTCAAAGGTCAAAGCATAGGTCATACAACTGGAGTGACTTTTTTCTTGCACTGTGCACGCCGCCATCCAAAACTGTCATTGTTCACGAAATCTGGTTACCCAATGTGAAATAGTTTAGAACATATGTCCCAGACAAACAAACTTTTCTGATGGACGGACAGAGGGGGTGCAAACCTAGCCCCCCCCNCCCCAATTTTTCAGTTCATAGATGTTTGCCTAAATTTCCTAGCTCGATGCTCCGATCTAGTAAAAAATGTCAATGTTCAATATGTATTTTTTTTTATTCAAAATCAACCTGTAAACTATAGTTCACTTATTACCATGTTGTATATCTTAGCCCGGTATGACCCCTGAAGTACGAACTAGGTTGTAATACAGCGGTATATAAGAACCTTAAATTATTATTATTATAGACAAATACCAAAGTTTACCCCAGCCAGGTCTGTCCCCACCCAGGAATGCACTCATCCTAGCCCCTAGGTCATCTCAAAGCGATTCATAAATTATTATCCGTGGTTATAGAACCTTTGCAACCTGCCAATATCGTTCTCAACTCCCAGGGGAGCATACATCCGGTGCTGCCATTCCGGCACTCACAGCTAGCATTCTACAATTCTAGCACTACCAAACCGCGTACTCAATTATATCTGAGTAGACTGGAACAAGCGGAGAAAAGTATCTTGCTCAAAGATACAACACAGTGCCGTGCCGTGACTCGAACCCGCAACCCCTCGGTCACGAGCCAAGTGTCCTTATACTAGACTACCGTGCCTCCGGATTGCCAGTAGGTGTTTTTCGTTATAGGACAGTTATTTCAACCATTTCTTTGTTATAAGGTCACTATGCTAGGGTGCAATCACAGTTAGTATGTGTATGAATCTTTTTATGACCTGCAAAGAGCATGGTCATTCCTAAGAACAGACAGACAAACAACAAAGAACTGATGATGTTACAGCATCCCTCATTTACAAGCTTTTCCTGGTCTGTAGGTGACATGCAAAGGCAATAAAATTAGATCAAAGATGATTCTCAGTTAGTATTTGGTAATTATAGTAACCATTTTGTAACTCTAAACTAGCATTCAATTTCTCAATATTCCAATATTGGAGAAGCAATGGCTACAATATCCATTCCGTTTGAATAACCAAATGATAAAAAACTCAATCATTTACATTTTAATGTAAGAAAGCATTATATCGTGAACATATTTTGAACCTAAAGCATACCACTGAACCAGTATCTTCAGAATCCAGATGCTGCAATAGATATAAACAAGATCATTGCAATTACAACACAGAAGTGATACATATACAACAGTGATCTCACCAAGTTATACAAGTGATACATAGACCTAAGTTGTAATGCAATTATGTTATTTGTTGCAGTGATGTAAAAATCAAACAAACACAAAAAAAGTTCATGTAATCGAAAAAAGGCTTCTTGAATTCCTTGAGAGAAATTCATATGATGAGTAACCAACATATATTATTGATATCCTTTATTGTGGGTAGATAATTGTCTGACATACGGTATATATCGCTGACAATTTGCCGAAAAAAAAAGAATGTAGTGGAGGAATGAATGACACGGGGGTAATGAAATAACAATTTAAGATATAGCGACTTAGGACCTTTCCATCCATGAAGAGTGTTTGATTCTAGCATATCTGGATCTGAAGAAGAAGATTGTTGAAATCTCAGGCAATTTTCCCTCTTTGGCCCTCCCTATAGACACTAGGGATGGGCCAGGTTCTTAATTTTCATACCATAAAAATTCAGTCACATGATAGTCATTTGAACCAACTTTGTTCCAACTGACAGTAAACAAATATACCAAAAAGTGTTATTCCCAATATAAACTACAGTAAGGCCAAAAACAAGATAACATATGCTTTGGATAACCTGATCATGACCTACCTTAAATTTTCCTGTGGACCTTAGGGAACATTTTATCCCCTAATTTGTATCCACGAAGATCATTTTAATAGTCCGGCAAAGATCACATACACTTTTTTCCTGTTATGGTCATGGGATCCTGACCACATTCTTGACAGAATAATAACCATTGAAATGTATAGAAATTCATTTAAATTCTTACATTTGTTATTACCCTCAAAAAAACAAAAAGCATTGCCTGCGTACTGACCAACCCTTTTTTTCCGGATTGTTGCATAAAAAACTTTTGTTTTGTTTTAGCCTAAACTTTGACCCTTTCTCAAGGAGGAATGAATGATCCAGAGGCAGCAAAATATTCATTAATTTGGAACAGGCCTACATGGCCTTTCCATCTATGAAGAGTATTTGATTCTAGCATCTTTGTGCCTGAGTAAGAAGACCGTTGAAAATTTAGTCAATTTTACCTCTGTTGGGCTCAAATCCCTTGCAGATTAGATCCAAATGTAATTCATAAATTTGGCTTGCTCTTTACCATGGAACTTTCCTTTAAACTGGAAAACGTCTGTACGACATAAATGCCCCCCCCCCCCCCCCCCCCCCCCCCCCCCCCCCCACCCCCCCCCCCCCCGCCATGTACAATTAGTTTCAGTGTTCTATAAAACGTTACAACCACTTTGATCTTGATACCCTGAAACTTGCACACACACAAGATACTACACTTAAAGTTGATAAGTTGATTTTAATATTCATATGTTTTTTCGGTATGTAATTACCATCTCCATAACATAAAGAATAAAGTTGCGAAGTGTTTAAATTGAATCAGTTGATGATTTCTATATATAGCAACAGTGACATTGGCCTTGATATTGGAACCCTGAAACACAGGAATGTCAGAGGTATACCCATATTTGACCTTTGTATAAAGTTTGACCAAAATCCGTGAAAGAATGAAGTTGCTAAGTCTTTAAATTGAATCAGTTGATGATTTTCTATGATGGACAAAAGGCATTAACAAAAGGTCAACACCAAGACTTTGAAAACTAAAAAATATCCATTTTCTAGCTAAAGTTTACAAATCATAAATGTTATACTCACTGCCTATCAAGATGTTCGAATGTCATGTTGTTGTATGCAGTAAAGAACAAATTAACAAGTATATATATATTCATATGAAATGTACCAAGTAATGGGAAATGAGTTGTATAGAAATAATAGTTTATGTTTATATATGTTTGCAGTATTTATATAATTTCAAGTTGTACTATTATTTCCACCAGGATTTGTACCTGGGTCTCCTACCAAAGAGTGGCGAGTGTGATGACCACTACACTATAGAATATATATAGCACAACTTACCTTTTCTTTCAAGATTTATTTCCATTTTTAAAATGTTTTAACCTTTGCATTTATATTTACATTCTCCTTCTGCTTTTCTTATCACATTTTAAATCAATATACCGGTATTAACTAAGTTTATGCCAGGCTCAGAACTACAATTTGCAATGTGTAAAAAATAATTATGATTTTTTTTCCCAAGGTATATACCAGTAAAATAAAAAGATCCCTAATTTTCCATTAATATTCATTATGATTCTGCAATATAATTGTCAAAAATAAGATTGCACACATATACTG